CTTTAGATTGTACGCACCTATTTTGACCGCACCTTTTAGCGGAATCGTTCTAATAAACTCAGAACAAATTCTTTCAATGGATGGTCTGGTTCTAGAGAATTTTCCCACAATAGTTAGACGACAAGTCTTTGCCAAAATCCCATGTTCTTCTTTTGTGAAACTGACCACCGCCTTTCTTGATACAATCTCATATGGCATGTGCTTGAAATGGACCTTCTTTTTCGAAATACTGACGACACCTCCAATAATAGATGTATACTTTAGTGGATTATCACCAAGATGTGTGTTTTCAGTAATCATGGGGCCTCCGATTTGGTGACGGAACATTTGCGGAGCAGGGGCATTTGGGTGAATCAGTGGGGAAAAAGCAACATATTGCCTGTTTGAGGGTTCCGGCGGTGCCGGTGGGGTCTGAGACCTTTCTCGGAGGTGGAATTGGAGAGCATTTACCCTAAGTGACCGTTTGTTACTGTTAGAATGCAAATGATTAGAAAATAAAAATTAGGGATTTAGCCATTTAGGGTTTCAATAGTACTTTATATACATAGGGGTAAAAGTATAAATATAAAAATTATTAGCGGGTTAATAATTTACCCGATAAGAAAATTGAGTAATCCGCCCCCAAACCATTAAGCCATTAATTATGAAATTTCAATCTGTTCACTATCCATTACCCCGCTAATCCGATACCAATAAGCCAATAAGCTATCGGTTCAGTTCGTTTAACGATTTCGGTTCGGTTTTGAATAGTCCTAGTCTGAATGGATTTTGTTTGTTTTTCCATAAATTCTCTTTACCAACTGAACAAGTATTAGACCACCCTCACAAATCTCATGAAGTAGTTGGTCTTTTTGACATTTCCATGTAATGTTTATTTGTTGAAACATTACATGAGACTATTAAGCTATAGTTGGTCTCCAAATATAGCTTGTGTACACGAGACTAGGTGGGTAGGAGATAAGGCGCGAGATGTAGACATGTTCAAACTATGGTATGCTTGGAGGGTGGGGGGCAGGAACGGGGTAGGTATCTTGGTTGATAAGGACCTTCGTGAACTAGTGGAGGAGGTTAAGAGGGTGAATGACAGGCTGATGACTATTAAGCTAGTTGTTGGAGGTTTTACTTTGAACATAATCAGTGCGTACGCACCCCAAGCAGGCTTGGATGAGCAAGTCAAGAGGCGTTTCTGGGAGGATTTGGATGAGATGGTGCGTGGTATCCCGCATACCGAGAAGATTTTCATAGGAGGAGATTTCAACGGGCATATTGGAGCGACGTCTGGGGGTATGATGATGTGCATGGTGGTTTTGGTTTTGGAGATAGAAACGGAGGAGGAACGTCTCTGCTGGACTTTGCTAGAGCATTTAATTTGGTGATAGCAAACTCGAGTTTCCCGAAGAAGAGGGAGCACATGGTCACCTTCCGGAGTTCGGTGGCCGAGACTCAGATTGATTATTTACTCTACAGGAAGTCCGATAGAGGTCTTTGCATGGATTGCAAGGTCATCCCGAGTGAGAACCTCTCGACCCTTCCTAGGCTCCTGGTAATGGATCTTGAGATCACGAGGAAGAGGAGGAAGAGAGGGATGTATAACCAACATATGATCAAGTGGGGAGCCTTGACGGAAGCTAACGCGCAGGAGTTGGGGGTCAAGCTGTTGACTATGGGGGCTTGGAGGAGTAGTGGGGACGCAAGAGTTATATGGATCACGACTACGCAGTGCATTAGGGAAGCCGCGAGAAAGGTATTAGGCGTCTCAAAGGGTTACTCTGGTGGTCCCAAGAGAGACTGGTGGTGGAATGGAGATGTCCAAAGAAAAGTGGAAATCAAGAAAGCAGTGTATCTGAAGCTAGTGGAAAGTGTAGACGACGAGGAGAAGAGGGCGAATAGGGACCATTATAAGTTGGCTAAGAAAGAGACGAAGCTAGCAACTACGGCAGCCAAGACTGCAGCTTTTAGTCATTTGTATGAGGAACTCGAGGGTCGAGGTGGAGATACGAGGTTGTTCAGGTTAGCCAAGGCGCGAGAAAGGAAGGCGCGCGACTTGGACCAAATGAATTGCATCAAGGACGAAAAAGGTAGAGTTTTGTTAGATGAAGGGCTTATCCGTCAGAGATGGCAGACTTACTTCCATAGTCTCTTGAATGAGGAGGGGACAAGAGCATTCACTACTAGAAATCTTGTAAAAACCGATCAAAGTTGGTCAGTAATGGCCAATAACCGACCAAAATGCGACCATTTACGTGTGGACGGTATTTTAGGGGTCGGAAAGGAATACCGACCAAAGTTGGTCGGAAATTACCGACCAACTTTGGTCAGTCAATTAAATTCAAAAAAAAAAAAATTGCAAAAAAAAACCCCGACCAAAGTTGGTCGATTTTTTCAGACCAAAGTTGGTCGGTATTTTAATTATGTAATCAAAAGATTTACCATCTAGGAATCGAACCGGGGTCTGTACTGTGGCAGGATACTATTCTACCACTAGACCATTGGTGCATTTTGTTTTAAGATTATCTTTTATTTGATTTATACTCTTTAATTGTATTTTCGCACGAAAATAACCGACCAAAGTTGGTCGGTTTTTTAATATTAATTTTTATTTATTTTGGTCGGTTTCTTGCAAAATAAATTTTGCGGGACTCAAAAATAGTTTTCCGCATTTTTGCGCCAAAGAAAACCGACCAAAGTTGGTCGGTTTCGTAAAAAAAAATTAAAAATTAAAATATTTTGAAAAACCGACCAACTTTGGTCGGTTTCGGTCTACCTTGGTCGGTTTTTGTCGAATTTCTAGTAGTGATTGTACTGGGTGATTTGGAACTCTTCGGGAGTCGTGACTTTGGGTATTGTAGGCGGATTAGAGTTGATGAAGTTGGGGGGGCTATGTGTAAGATGAGCAGGGGTAAAGCGACCGGGTCGGATGAAATCTTGGTGGAGTTTTGGAACAGTGCGGGCAAGGCAAGCTTGGAGTGGCTCACTAGGTTATTTTATGTCATTTTTAGAACGAAGAAGATGCCCGAAGAGTGGAGGTGGAGCATGATGGTTCTTGTATACAAGAATAATGGTGATATTCAAAATTGTAATAACTATCCGGGTATCAAGCTGCTTAGCCATACTATGAAAGTCTGGGAGAGAGTGATAGAGCTAAGGGTGAGGAGGAATGTGTCTATTTTCGAGAACCAGTTTGGGTTTATGTCGGGGCGTTCGACTACAGAAGCCATCCAACTTGTTAGGAGATTGATGGAGTATTATAGAGAGAGAAAGAATGACTTGCATATGGTGTTCATCGACTTAGAAAAGGCGTGCGATAAAGTTCTGAGGGAGGTTTTGTGGTGATGTTTGGAGGCTAGAGGTGTACCTGTTACCTACGTTAGGTTGATTAATGACATGTATGATGGAACAAAGACCCGAGTGAGGACGGTGGGTGGGACTCAGATCATTTTCCGGTTATGATGGGGTTGTATCAGGGGTCGACACTCAGCCCTTTTTTGTTTGCTCTGGCGATGGATGTACTGACGCGCCACATCCAAGGGGAGGTGCCATGGTGCATGCTATTTGCAGATGATATTGTATTGATTGACGAGACGCGAGATGGCGTGAACGCGCAATTAGAGGTATGAAGGTAGACCCTGGAGTCTAAAGGTTTCAAATTGAGCAGGATTAAGACAGAATATTTGGAGTGTAAGTTCAATGGCGAGACTCAAGGAGGGGAAGGGGAGGTGAGGTTGGACTCGCAGGTCATCCCTAGGAGAGGAAGTTTTAAGTACCTTGGGTCTATTATTCAGGGAGGTGGGGAGATTGATGAATATGTCACGCATCATATTAGGGCAGGATGGATGAAATGGAGACTTGCTTCCAGTGTTTTGTGTGATAAGAAGGTGTCACCGAAACATAAAGGTAAATTTTACAGAGTGGTGGTCAGACCAACGATGTTATATTGGGCTGAGTGTTGGCTAGTCAAGATCGCTCATGTCTAGAAGATGAAGGTAGCAGAGATGAGGATGTTGAGATAGATGTGCGGGCACACCAGATGAGATAGGATCAGAAATGAGGTTACTCGCGACAAGGTGGGTGTGGCCCTTGTTGAGGACAAGATGCGGGAAGCGCGACTTAGGTGGTTTGGTCATGTGAGGAGGAGGAGCACAGATGCCCCGGTGAGGAGGTGTGAGAGGTTGACATTGGAGGGCCTACTGAGAGGTAGATGTAGGAGAAAGAAGAGGTGGGGAGAGGTGATTAAACAAGATATGGTGCAACTTCAGCTGACCGAGGACGTGACCCTTGATAGAAAGGTATGGAGGTCGAGTATTATGGTAGTAGAGTAGGTAGTCTAGAGTGTTCATAACAGTAGTATTGGCATGCAGTCTCGCTTTCTGTTGGTAGTAGGTTTTTATGACTAACCGTTGTTTTCTTTCATTGATGATCACCTTACTATCTTGTTGTTTTTGTTCTGCTTATATATGACTTTTTGGTACTGTCCCTTTTTGTCTATATTTTCATTAATGTGGTGCTTGGTGCTTATGCTTTCCTGAGCCGAGGGTCTATTGGAAACAACATCTCTATCCTCACAAGGTAGGGGTAAAGTCTGCGTATACACTACCCTCTCCAAACCCCACGGTGTGGGATAATACTGGGTATGTTGTTGTTGTCTCTTTGCCAACTGAACCATACTAACTCGGAACGAGAGAACCAAATATTTGACGGAAAGTAAGCCAAAAGACAAGGCCAAAAGACAAGGAATCATAAACACCAATTCTCACCCATCGATTGTGGGTTATTCACTTGGTAGATATGATTCGTTTCTTATCAATTCCACTAATATAACGGATTTGCAGTAAGATATCCCCCAGTAATTCCTGCTGTTAATAAGCAAATGATTCTTAAGAAATTGATGACAGGTTTGCTGAGTATATGACATGTACTAATGCAAAATCAGAAACATGAACCTGTGAACCACGCCCTGCCCCAAAATCCAGAGCGACGAAAAGAGAGAAATGGGCGAAAACTGAGAGCTCAAACCTACGCGTTGCATACTCATTGTCAAAGGTATTGATATAAATAAAAGAACATTGCAATACTTGATAATCACCTACTTATTTTACATAATAATAGACTAAGAATCTAATATAAAATCCAAAAAATCTAGCCAATATATCCCCTGTTAAGACTCAAGGATGATAACCTTGCGCCATTACTGAAAACCTCAGAGGCATTGATTCTCGTTTCTTGACCAAGTATTTACGTAACTAATAGTGAATATCATACTTTTATTGTTACTATAGGAGAAGGAATATCATTACGCAACAATTTTTCTAAGCTCCGAACTTGGGGACTTTAGCAGTTGAAATCTGTGCGAGGAAGTGCTCTGCAACAAGTCGTCGTTGAATTTTTCCTGTTGCAGTCTTTGGTAGAGAGTCGGTCATGAAAACCTTCTTTGGTACTTTAAAGGCCGCGAGATTCTTCTTACAAAATCTCAGCACCTCTGCCTCATCAATGTTTGACCCTTCTCTTGGAATAACTGCACAGTTTATCTGTCAAACAAGAAAATATTTGATTTAGTCAGCATACAATGAGAATATCGATAAGTGAACTCTATGAAACGTTGATTCTTAATGCAGGGCCGGCACCACCATAAATATCGCGTTATAACAGCGGATGTAACCATGGGTTCCTGGGTTCATCCCCGTACTTTGGGGTTGATATATATGTGCAAATGGAGTAAAATTGATTTTTTTTTGTTACACGTGAGCTGTTGAATTCCCTTGGTATGAACAAAAATTCAAGTATAGTACTCCCTCCGTCTCATATTAATAGTCGTGGTTACTAAAACTAATGTCTCAAATTATTTGTTATTTTAGAAGTTCAAGACAAAATTGATTATTTTTTTTCTTTTTTACCCTTAGTAATAATTGTTCTTGACGATGGAGATAACACATAAATAGAATAAATATTCAATGACGAGAGATTATATCTTAAGACATAAATAAGGGTAGAATAGTCCAATCCCTTTCCTAATTAATACTCTCTCTTGTCCACAATAAATGATTTTTTGGCCCTTTTTTTTGTGGTCCAAAATATGTGATTTTTTCATATTTCAAGAATGAATTAATTATTTTTTTTTTATTGTCCTTGGAGTAAATAGTGTTGGATTATTTATGTGAAGAGATAGTAAAAGTTAATATGGTCAATTTCATTGCTAATTAATGTTAAAAAGTGAATTTCTTAATCTGTGTGAAAACAGTCAAAAAATTACTTATTATGGACCTGGGGGAGTATTTCTTAAGGGGCGTGTAAAAAAGAAACACGACACAAAATATGAGACAGAGGGAGTAGTAAAGGGGGTTCAAATATGCTTTAAGTCATAGGTTCAAATTCCAACTATGACATCTTAGATTTTTTTCGAATCTCCTTGTATGAATTTCTAATTTCGCTACTGGTAAGATGTATATTTGGAGACCCACCTTCTTAACTCAGAATCAACAATGTCTATATTCTACATGCGCCATTGCTACTAAGGCTTTAGAGACCATACAAAGCATTTGGAAGGGACAGAGCTAGCTTATGTGTCACAAGGGTCGTTACTGATATAGCTAGCTTATGTGGTTACCAAAATGCAATTTAATAGCAAGCTCTCTACAGAACGGCACCAAAATAAAAAGAGGGGCTCACGTGGAATGAGATACATGCAAATTAAACAGAGAAATAGACGTCTAACTAATGAAATATATACATGTAACATGTACATATCACCCCCACGTGCAACCATTGCTATTGAAACAAACAAACAAATGGAGATCTCCATTTTTCATTAATGGAAGCCTACCAATTTGACAATATTGGAGTTTATCTCTTACCTCTTCACCATACTTGTCGTCAGGAACTCCGAAAGCAACTGCCTGAGCAACTTCCGGATGAGAAACCAGCACTGCGTCCACTTCAATAGGTGATATTTTCTCCCCTAAGATTATAAGCAGGGAAAAAAACTATCATTGACGAGTAATAGTTCATTCGTTGCTCCAAATATTTTAATACATTTATCCAATTAGCAAAGTTACTTCAACGCTCATAATATTCAACAGATGCTACAATTTTCATAAACTCGACTATCAATTATGACATGACAAGCAATCTCAGAATAAAAAGATTTTGGGTGTCTTCAACTATATTAAAATCCGCCTCCTATTGGACCTCATTAAATTGGAAATTAAGTCATACGCTAGAAACAAAATCACTCAGAAGATTAGGAAATAGTTAGATTAACACGACTTATGCTTTTTACCATTTTATAAATTTGAATTTTGAGTTGTCACATCTACAAGGCCTTAAAGTCTACTTGCTAAATTAATTACAAGACCATGGACGAGGGAATAACCAAGGATTTGCTTTGAAAAAAGAAGAGAAGAAGTCAATATCATGCACCTAAAAGTGGCCAAACTTACAGCAATAGCAACGGATGAAAAGTTCTACCAACTAAAAGTTACATCTTAACAACAAAATATTTAGGGCGGTGCAAGCCAAGTTTGATCTAATTTTCTCATACTGGGACCACCAAACTTGGCATTAGAGTAAAGATACTAACATGTCATACTTCAGGTCCATATTACATCATCCTACAAAAGCGTGTTCCACCCTTAACTAGCAACAATGAGCATAAATAAAATTGTTGAGCCAAATTTCTCCGTAAAGCTACTTTTCATGTGATTTGTCATTCTTCCAATGAGGAACAAGGAAAAGTTCCATGATTATTAGTACTTTCACTGTTCCACTTGACGTGATATTAAATTTTTTTAATCTGTTGAAATCTAATGATATAAATCATATTATCTTAACTTCTAATAATTTTATACTCACACAAATTTCTATCTTGAACTTTATGTTAAATCAAATATGTTCGCTTAAATAAAATAGGTTAACATAAAATATAAAAGATTGCGAAAGTGTAGAACCAAGTTACCTCCACGGTTGATCAACTCCTTAATTCTGCCAACCAAATGCAAATATCCATCAGAGTCCAAATACCCCACATCACCAGTGTGAAACCAACCAAACTGGAAAGCTGATTTATTAGCCTCAGGATTATTCTTATACCCTTTTGTAACATTTGGACCTCTAATGCAGACCTCTCCCTTAGCATTAGCACCTTGTACCACACCATTCTCATCCAATATAGCCATCTCTTGACCCACGGGTTTCCCAACAGACCCGGGAATATGCGGGCCATCTTCAGGTAACGGGTTCGAAGCCATCAAATGGGTCGCCTCTGTCATCGCATACGCCTCCAAAACAGGAGCCCCGAATGCTTCCTCTAACCGGGCCATCACTGATGGAGCCAGTGCTGCACTGCAACTCCGAATGAACCGGAGCTTCGGGTAATCGGGTTCGGGTTTGCTGAGGTGGCGATCCAAAAGAATCTGGTGAATTGTAGGTACAGCCGTGTACCACGTGGCGTTGTATTTTTTCATGTCTGGCCAGAAAGTTGAAGCAGAAAATCTCCCAGCGGAAGGAAGTGTCACAGATGCTCCGGCTCCGAGTGAACTCAGTAACCCGGCAATTAACCCGTGAACGTGAAATAACGGTAACACGATCACCGTTGAATCCGAGTCACTCAATTTATACACCGATTTGATATTATTCACTGAAGATGCTAAATTTATCTGAGTCAGAGGAACACCTTTTGGTCGGCTCGTGGTGCCTGACGTATGAAGGAAAAGTCCAACATCCGATGGGTCGTTAACGATTTTGGACACCGATTCAAGGTCCGACCCGGAAGGAGCAGGGGAAAAAGTGATATCAGAGTCGGCTTGAGGCAGAGTAGCAGTAATATGACGGATTTTCAGCTTGGAAGCTGCGGTTTGAGCCGCTTCATTTCCTTCATTTCCAGTTAATAAGAGTTTTGACTCTGAATCGGATAAATAGAACTCGAATTCTTCGGCCATGTACGCTGAATTCAGTGGCGCCGCCGTGGCTCGTACTCGAATTACAGCTAGAAACATGATCACGAACTGTAAAAACAAAATTTAAAAGACAATTAGTTTTTAATCGTCTGGTTTGAAAAATTAAATCCTGATTATATCACAAAAGAATTTACATCCTTAACGCTTCTTAAGTCTTTCTTCTGTTGTTCTTTTCAGATTCTGTAAATTTTGCTGAACGTAAAAAGGAAAACAAAGGAAATAGAAATTAGACCTCGACAGTGTTGGGGAATGTGAGGGCAACGACATCGCCGTGCTTAACGCCGGCAGATACAAGTTGAGAAGCAGTACGTTCGACGAGTTCTTGAAGCCGTGCATGAGTAATATCAAACTTTCCAGAAATGGAAATCGCACGATGAGAAGGGAATTTTTCGGCGACATGTTTCAACAATCCAGTGAGTGTCAAACTCGCCATAGCGAATATTTAACAGAATCAATAATATAGTACTATATCTTAGAAATCTGGTCACAGAATGAGGAAAACAATTTATAATAATAATCAAATTAAAGAATAGCGGAGAAGGTTGAAATGATTTGAGGAATGGAATGGGTGGTTAAGGTATATATAGAGTGGAGGCGGTGAAGGAAGTGATGTGAAGTATAGAAGTTAGAACGAAGAATCCAATTCCGATTACCAGAAAAACCTTATTTTTAGGTGTAGGTGAGACTCAGGGAGGTGGCATGCCACGTGGCAGTTAGTTTGCCCTTTTTGGGGGAGGACCGGCACACTCCTCAATCCTCTCATCTTAGATTACGTGGCATTTTTTACGCGCTTCCTTTCGTCACTTTCTTCTTGGAATTTATCCTCTAAAATGTGTGTGATTTTTGCTCCCATCAATATACCTTTGCTTCCTATGTAGTCTGGAATTATTAGCAAAAATAAAATAAAAATAAAAATGTAGTCTGGAATTTAGTGTGGGAAGAGAACAAATTGATAAGGAAATCTTTTTATTTTAAAAAAATGAGTATTATAATTGAGGAAAAATAGAGGAGATATGTCCCTTCGAAGTCATCGGATAAAATTGGAATGAGATGATAGAGGAGATCTAACTCGATAACATTGTGCAGTTCAAACGGTAGTAGTTGTCTTTTTGCCATTAAAATTATTCAGTTCTAGTGAATTTCGGAAAGTGTTATGTAACTCAAAACTTGAAATTATTCACAATATTCAATTCTTCACTCTAAAGCGGGTTTTCTTGATTTTCTTCTGCCAACGATATCTTTAGATACTAACTTAGCGATAGATTTTGTTGAAACTTGAAAACTAAAATTGAAGATAAGATAAAAAATTATTTTTGAAAGTTAAAATTGTGTTTGAATATGTCTTTACTTTAAAAGAATTTGAAATTTTGTGAGTAAGAAACTTGAAAAACTAGTCTAAATCACTTTTTGAACTTGAAAAATTCATCTACAAAAACTGCCCAAAAACTAATCAGTTTTTATAACCAAATAATGTTTTCAATTTTTTTTTTTAAAAAGAAAATAACTTATAGCCAAATGGGAGCTAAAAAATTCTATCGTATTCCTACTAATTAAGTTTCAATAAGTATATCATAGTCGAGTTTAAACTTGGAATGACAGAAGCACTAGAAAGAAATTAGTTTATATATAGATTAATTAATTTTTAAATAAACTAAAAATCCTCTACTCCTTCACTTACTAACTCTTAGAGGGGTCAACTTTTTCAAAAAGATTGCTACAAAGTTTATTAGTCGTGGTAAAAGAATAAGAGTTTTTGGTATAAATATAAATTTTATGGCAAAAAAAGTTCTACTAATATTGCTACAATACAAAAAACGTATAAAATTTGTAGTTAACTTTTACTTACGTTACTTTTTGCTACGGAAAAAATATCGTGGCTAAAGCAATATTTTTCATATTTAGCTACAATATATTTTGTAATTGTATATGCGTAAAGTTGTAGTGCCTCCTGGGCTATGTTAGGATATTAAGATACAATAATGGAGGTAAACAAAATATTAACAAATGAATAACTTCTCTCTTTCTCTTTTTAATTTTCTTCTTAATTAATTTTCATTGTTCGCTGTTAATAAAAGTTGGAAGTTGCCGCAGAGGATTGGACAATGTGGGGTCACGTAGGGAGGGGGCTGTGCAGCAATTTGCACCAAAGCAATTGGGTAAAAGGGATTGAAAATTAATAGAAGGTGTAAGGAGAAAAGTCGGTTCAAAGAAAGGCTCTTGTGAAGACCAACTCAAATTTGGCCTCTTACTTCCACCTGCAACTTGGCATTAGAGGAAGAATAGTAAGAAATGCATGCATGCATGCTAAAATCCACCTAAAAAGCCTATCGACTTTAAAGCGGCTTTTAACAAATCTTAAGGGTCATTTTCCTCTTCGTAAAACTATTGTGCCTTTGACTCACATACTAGTAATTGTAATGCAGGATTTGTATACGTGGTAATCAATAATAAAGGAATTGTTACACATAAATTACTTACTTTAAAGGAATTTTTTATTTTTAAATAGGTTAATCCTCGCATTAAGAATTACTTTTTGTAACATTTGATAAACAAATTGTATTTGGCCAATCTTTCTAAAAAGTATTTTTGAGTGTCAATTTACCAAAAAGGATAGTACCAAGGTCTTATAATTATTTTAAAGAGAAAAATAAACTTAAATATTTATCGCAAAAGACCTTTATTATTTTTTATTTAATTAAAATATAAAACATAAAGTAAACATATATATTAAAAATTTAAATTAATATAACATATATAGTTATACCAAAGCACATAATATTATCTATTATAATTACTTATTGTAATCATTCAGTATGAATTAGAAGTCTATTCCAAGAATTACTATATATTGATAATCCATCGTGAAATAATAAGCAAAGTCACTCACACATGATAATATTTCTCAACAATTTCATCTCATATTATCACACAATGCCTACATATTCGTAGAAGGCTTGCCTTATATTTCTAAAGGAATATTAGAAGACCCATCTCCTTCCTCAATCTTTGCAGTAATGTCTTCATTAGCATAATAGTTGAATTCCTTATCGGTAGAAGAATATCGTTGGATGAAATTACGTATAGCCATGGTAGTTATAGCAAGATGATTCTGAATGTGAGAATTGAAAGATGACATTGAGCATAAAATAGAAATAATTTTAAATATATAAAAAATATTATTTTCATTAAAAAAATAGTTAAGTATATTTAAATTCAAATTCAAATTCAAAAAAGTAACTAATTATTAACATCACATAATTCATGATTTAAATTTTTAAAATTTAAATTTAAAAAGAAATTAATTATTACCTAACCTAATTAATTTTCTCCTAAATTTTCAAGTGACCTATTGTGAGACTGTCACTTGGCTTAATGTGGAGGCCTTTTGTTCTTTTTTTAAATTTTATATATATATATATATATATGATTTCTCTTATTTTAAAAGAATGGTAGAAACTAGAAACAAAAAAGAAAAAAAAGCCTAAATTAGTAAGGGATAATTTGAAAAATATAAATTTACGGTGAGGATAGTTTTATCTTGAATAAATTAATTTTCTGTTTCTGCTACTCAATAAAGTTCCTTCTACTGTTATGGACAATAAATCCACTTTAGAAGTTTTGTATGGTAGGCCTCCTATATTGGATCATCTGAGGGTTATTGGATGTTTGTGCTTCGCATCTACTCTACCTACACAGGACAAGTTTGGTACAAAAGTTCTTAAGTCAGTCTTGTTGGGGTATGGTACCTCTAAGTAGGGGTATTCGTCGGTCGGTAAGGTACGATATTTAGACATTTCGGTTCGGTATTTTCGGTATTCGGTTTCTTAAAATGTTATACTAATACCGTACCTAATTAAATTAGATATGGTTCAGTTTTTCTCCGTTCGGTTTATTCGGTTTGGTAACTTCGGTTTATTCGGTTTGAATACTAACTAGTGCATAAAGTCACAGACTGTAATATTCGTAATTAAGATACTCAAAAGTACAAAACTTAAAACATTTGTTGACAAAAGTTTTGTCTAAAACCAGCAAATATCAACTCAGAGAAAGAAAACTATACGTAAAGGAATAAATTTGATCGTTAGAAATGTCTTTCTACTTAGAGTTAATTAATGAATTTAGAGAATAAAAGAAAGTAAAATTTTAGATTTTTTATGTTTATATTATAATTAATAATATGTGTATTGTATAATATAATATATATTTCGGTACGGTATCGGTATTTCGATATTTTATTATAAAATACCAAATACCATACCTAATATCAATTTTTTTAAAAACTTAAACCAAATACCATACCGAATACCAAATACCAAAATTTTTGATTTCAGTACGGTAATTCGGTATTTACCAAATTATGCACAGCCTTACTGAGAAGAGGTATAAACTCTATGACTTGGATAACAAGAAGATTTTCATTAGCAAAGATGTAGTATTTCACAAGGCAATTTTTCCATTCAAGGAGTGCAAAGATATCTTTTCAAATCCTTTCATCCAGGTCCAGCATTCAGTTCCAACGATTGCTCATGTACAGTTTCTCTTTTGATCATTCTGCTGTTCAGGTTGCTACTACTGCTGATCCCTTGCATAGTCCAATGGATGAGGAGCCAAACTCAACTGCTTTACGTGTCCCTATTGCTCCTGTTCCTTATTCTCCAACAATTGCTCCAGCTGGGGATTTTGTACATACTAATACATTGACTAGATAGTCCACTAGGACTAGCAAGCCTCCCATTTGGCTTGCAGACTATGTGAGGCCTGACAAATCCAAGAAGGCAAGTTGCTGCACTTATCCCTTTTAGATGTATTAAGGTATGATAACTTGTCTCCTAAATACCACTGTCATATTACCAAGTTCTCCAGGGAAGTGGAGCCCAGAATTTACTTTGAGGTTGTGAAGGATAGCAGATGGAAAACTGCTATGAAGGAGGAAAGAAAAAAATCAGACATGGCATGTGATTTCATTGCTTGCTAAGAAGAAAGCTATTGGGTGCAAATGGGCGTATAAAATTAAATACAAAGCTAACGAAAAAGTAGAAAGATTTAAGGCACGGTTGGTGGCCAAGGGTAACAACCAGAGAGAGGGTCTTGACTATCAAGAGACCTTTTCTCCTGTGGTGAAAATGGTGACAGTTAGGGTGGTCGTTTTCCTTAGTTGCTATAAAAAATTGAGACATTCGCCAGATGGATATCAATAATGCGTTCCTTTATGGAGACCTCAATAAGGAAGTATACATGGATTTGCCTCAATGTTTCAATACTGACAAAGGAAAGAATCAAGTTTGCAGATTAATCAAATATCTCTATAGATTGAAGCAAGCATCCAGGCAGTGGAATATTAAGCTTACTTTAGCCCTATTGGCAGCAGGTTTTGTACAAAGCCATTTAGATTACTCTTTGTTCACTATGCAATCAGCTGGAAAGATTGTGGTGGTCCTCATCTATGTAGATGACCTCTTGATTACTGGAAATGATGCACAACTCATTCAAGATACCAGAGATAGTTTGCAAAGGAACTTTCATATTAAAGACCTTGGTGAGCTCAAATATTTCCTTGGTATTAATTTTGCCAGGAAAAAAGGATGGGATTATGATGCATCAAAGAAAATATACCCTGGAG